TTTGGGGGAAAAATAAATAAAATAAAAATTAAAAAAATAATAATAATAATAATTATAATAATATTTGCAAAAACCTCTTACCAGGGTACACAATTCACTCTCTTTTGATTGTGGACTTATTTCTCGGTCTTCATGAAAATAGTGCTGCTGGGAAAGATAATCCAGTTCTGTCAAGATGACATCCTCTGGCCCTGCATTGGAGTTAGTGTATAAAGCTAAAGGGTTGAGTTCTCTGAAACCCTAGGATTAAAAAGAGAACGAAGGGTTTAGTTAGTGAAAAAGTTAGGACTTAATAATTTTCAAATGTTGCAGAAATGTATTATCTTCTAAAATTTAATAGTTAAAAATGTTTCTATGTTAACAATATTCTATATGTGTTTTTCATTGTCAGAAAAATTATCTACATCAATATTAATGGTGATGTAGACATTGCTATCAATAATTGCAAAATAAGAAATTGTTGTTCTTTTCCAAGAAGACCTCTGAGAATTAAATACTTTGGGGAAAGATAGAATCCTCAATCAATTATTTAAAATAAAAATATTCACATTCTAAAGAACAACAAGCCAAGTGTAGTTTTCTGTGGTCATCTGAAAATTTAGAGAGTGCTCTGCCTTAAGAAGGCAGGAATCTCACAGATGTCTCTAAGATTAAAGAATAAATCAACAAACTTCTGTATTAAATTCTCTTATACCTTGAAATGTTGAGATTAAATAAAACATATTACAAAATATATCGAGACTGCTCCACCTTAGAAGGGACATTTTCTCGGCATACGATTGCATGGCCCTCTAGTCTCAAGACATGATGGAAATAGACGTCTTCGTTTGAGGATGTATCACACAGAAAAATGTTAAGGATTCCATCTACATATTCATCCACTACCCCCACTAATGGCTTCAAACCACACAACTTCTGGAACTGCAAAATAGCTCTGGATGTCCAGTGTTCCTGAAATATAATCAAGATATAAGATTCATATGACAAATGCAAACACAAACTATCGTAACAATACACAAAAATGAATTCCTAATAAACTAGAGATTTTAGTGGAAAAACAAAACCATAAAAGTACTAGAATAACACACTGGAGGATATTTATGATTTGGGGATGAAAAAAAGTCAGAATAAAAGAAAGATGATGGTAAATGTGATTATGGAAAAATTTTATTATTTATGTGGTGAAAAACTTTCATTTTTAGAAATTGTTCAGTTAGATTATTGGATCAATCTTCCCACAGAAACAACTAAAATTTCTGATAAAATATTTTAAAAATATGTCCAAAAAGTATCAAAGAACTGATAACAGAATAACAAATTATCAGGCCAAAATTAAAGGAAAAGTGGGAACTATTTTTGCCTTAATGTATCTGCCAATCCAGGCAAATTTGAACTTTGGTTTTGCTGGTCTCACAGGTCAAAGGAGACAGAAATCAAAGCCAGTATCCACCCCTGGTAGGGAGTGGAAAAGAGAACTTTCCTTCATTAAGCTGAGGCCCTATATGGGTACACATTCAGGGTAAGGCAGAAAAATAAACTAGCCTTCACAGGAATCTGCAGCTCAATTTCATAGCACCTGCATGCTACACAAATCCTCAAGTTGTTCATTTAAACTAACACGGTTCCAGACTGGTAGTATGCCTAGGTACATGGCAGAAGTGAATGTAAATCTCTCTGGAGGCGGGCAATCTTGGCCTGTATTATTCAACCAATCTCATAAATAATTTTTTCAAAGAGAGTAAGCAGTACATAAGCAAAGATAAAAAGCATACAAAGAAACAATGAATCACAAGTGAGAACAAGGAGAAGCAACATAATTCAAACAAACCCTCAAAAGCTTTAGATACTTGAATTTCTAGACAAATTATAAAACAACTAAACTTACTATACTTTAAAGTAAAAAAAAAAACATTAATTTGAAAGCTTCTGCAGAGATCAGCATCTATAAAAACTGATCTAGCAGAATTAAAGAACCAAGAAAACTTTTAGAAAGTAAAAACAAAATAACCAAAATTAAAAACCTAATAGGTTGATTCAACAGCAGATTAGGTAGAACTGAAGAGTAAATTAGTAAAGTGTAAGATAATTTGGAAAAAATTACCCAGAAGGCAACATGGAAAAACAAAAATACGTAAAATACAGAAGAGAGGTTAAAAGATATGGAAGATAAATTGAGAAGGTATAACATACTTTTAATTATGGTCCTAGAAAAAGAGAGGCAGAAACAGACAGAGGGAATATAAATATGAATATGGGGAAAAGACAATAACTGAAGAGATAATGGCTGGGAATTTGCTAGATTTAATGAAAAGTAAAAAAGCACAGATAAAAAGAAGTCCAATGAAAGCAACCCAAGTGTCCCTCGACTGATGATTGGATCAAGAAGAAGTGGTATATATGTATATACATACAATGGAATAATACTCAGCCATAAAAAAAGACAAAATCGTCCCATTTGCAACTACATGGATCAACCTGGAGGGTATTATGTTAAGTGAAACAAGCCAGAAAGAGAAAGACAAACACTGTATGATCTCACACATATGTGGAATATAAACCAACACATGAACAGAAAAAACTGTATTGTGGTTACCAGGGGCAATGGGGGTAAGGGGTGGGCACAAGGGGTGAAGGGAGACATGTATATGGTGATTGACAAACAAAAATGTACAACCAAAATTTCACAATGTTATAAACTATTAAGATATCCATTTAAAAAAATCAAAGGAAGAATATTCTTACGGGACTTGTGAAAATTATATGTAGTTCAAATATTAGTGTTCATCAATAAATTTTATTTATGAAATGAAAAACAAAACAAAACAAAACAAAGAAGTCCAATGAAACACAAGCTAGGGGGCCGGCCCGGCAGTGTAGTGGTTGAGTTCACGCATTGCGCTTCAGCGGCCCAGCGTTCGCCAGTTTGGATCCCTGTCGCAGACCTACTCACCACTCTTCAAGTCATGCTGAGGCAGCATCCCACATAGAAGAGCTACAACTCTACAACTATGATATGCAACTATGTACTGGGTCTTTGGGGAGAAAAAAAGAAAAAGAGGAAGACTGGCAACAGATGTTAGCACAGGGCCAATCTCCCTCAAAAAACAAAAAAGGAAACACAAACTAGGATAAATAAAAATACATCCACACATAAACATACTAAAACTGAAGAACACAAGCAACAGATAGGAAATCTTGAAAACAGCTACAGATAAAAAGGACACGGCCTTCAAAGAACAGTCATTAGACTGACAGCTGACTTCTAAAATATGGTAAGGGAAACCAGAAGGCAATGTAATGATATCTTCAACATGTTAAAGATATTAACTGGGGGCTGGCCCAGTGGCGTAGTGGTTAAGTTCATGCACTCCGCTTCTGGCAGCCTGGGGTTCATGGGTTTGGATCCCAGACGCAGACCTGCGCACCACTCATCAAGCCACACTGTGGCAGGCGTCCCATATAAAGTAGAGGAGGATGGGCACAGGTGTTAGCCCAGAGCCAATCTTCCTCAGCAAAACAAACAAGCAGAGGATTGGCAACAGCTCAGGCCTAATCTTCCTCACACACACACAAAAAGATATTAACTGCCAACCTAGAATTCTATACCTAGTGAATGTATCTTTCAAGAATAAGTGCAAAATGATATTTTCAGGTAAACATAACTAAGTTTGCCATCAGCAAATGCTCACAAGTGAAATTCTAAAGGATGCAGTTTAAATAGAAGAAAAATGTTCCCAGACAAAAGGTTTGAGAGGCGAGAATGAAGAGCTAAGAAACTGAGAGATGTGTAACTAAATCTAAGTGGACATTATTATTTTATGCAGTCAATATCTTGAGGGGTTAAAAATGACAACATTAATTATGCAACAAAAACAGAGCAGAAGAGGAGGTTAAAGAAGTTAGAGCATTCTAATGTCCTTGCATTGTGACACACGTGTATGTTGTTATTTCCTAGACTAATCACTAAAACAATATAGTGTGTTACTTAGTGGAATGATTAAAAAAATCTCTTCAAAATAAGGCATGCAAGGTGAGAAAAAGAAAGAATAGGCAAGCCAGTAATTTTTCACTAGGGCCGCTGGGTTCTCCCCAGTGCTTGCAAAGTTTAGTGGTATCTAAGGAATTGGGCAGACTGAACATACTGATCTTGGAACTCACCCGGTCTGTGGCTCCCTCCCTTCAAGTACTTGACCCCTAACTTCTAGCTCTTCTGCCAGTCCCAAACAATATCCTCTAACTCTTCAAGCCAGCAAGGCTGTAGACTGGGGAGTGGCCTCAGGAAAGAAGCTGAAAAATCTCCGATCTTCCCGACTGCAGTCTGACTTCCCAGGGAGACCTCTGCTTTTAGCCTGCTTTGGATTTTGTCTATGGGAGTATTAGTCTGACCATGCTACTCTATTGCTAATCTGCCATTACCAAATGCATTAACTATTTTTAAAACAAGAAAAATGATCTAGAAATAAAGTGAGATACATTCATTTAGTTAAAAACATTTACTGAGCACCTGCCATGCACAAGCACTGGTCCAGGCTCTGGAGATACAGTGGTGAACAAGACAGACGTCCCCGATCTCAGCAGCTTACACTGTTGTATGTGAACAAATACTTAAGATAATACCAGATAGTGTTATGAAGACAAAACAAAGTGACAATGAATGACTGAAGTAGAAGGGAGCACTTGAAATTGGCTGATCCAGGAAGTCTTTCTCGGAGAAATAACATTTGGGCTTAAATCTGAATGACAAGAAGGAGCTAACCACGAGAAGGCTTTGAATAAGCTATTCGAGTGATCACAGTGGGCAAAAGCCCTAAGGCCAGAAGCAGTTTGGGAAGGAAATAGGAAAACAAAACAAAGAGAACAAAAAATGGAAGCCATCTGGCTGATGAGAGTTACAAACATTGGCTACAAGTGGGTCACAAATTTACCCCTGAGCTTCCTGATGGAAGTAGCAAAAAGAAACCTAGTCAGGGCTAAAATGCACCCTAGAAAACAATCCTAAATACTGACTTGCACAAAAACCATACTTTGCATACGTTATATATAATACCCAAAAATAGGAAGCAGACTGAATATCTAACAGTAAAGAGAGAGTTAAACATGCTTTGACACACATTTACCTAATAGAGTACTATGAATCTATTAAAATTGAGAACTATGATCACATATAAATGTATTTATGTTATGATGCTGAGTGAAAAAACAGAATACAATACGATTACTATTTTATGTAGCCCTAAAACCCTACAAATACCCTCACCCCCAACATCCAATAAACTAAACTGAAAGAAACATACAACAAATTTCTAAATTAATGCATTTGAGTGGTGGAATTATAGGTGATGTTTTTTCTTTTTCTTTCCTCTTTACTGTGTTTTTCAGATAAAAAAATTTTTTAAACGAATAATCCAGGCATATGTAAGCAAGTGATAAGTTATTCAGGTTACACAGACAAATATGGTGCAATAAATGTGTATGGCATGTATAACAGAGTTCTGAGGGAAAAACATAAAATTAGGTGCATTAACCAATATATCTATATGGATGAACTTGCCTCCTGCTCCATCCCATTCCAATAATCTCCCACAATGATGTTACTAAGGAATTCTTTAAAAAACATATATCTGATTGTGGCAGTTCTCTATGTACTCTCTTTAGTTGCTCCCCAGCAGCTAACGGACAATGTCCAGATTCCTGAACATGGATATGGATCTCCCCCTTAGGTTCCTGCCTATTTCTCTGACATCATTTGCCATGCACCAACTCCAGCTCATCCTCTAATACGTGGCCAAACAGATCCACTTAAAATTCTCAAATTTGAGATGTCTTATGCTACTCTCTCCCTTTGCCTGGAATGTCTTTCTTCTCTTTTTTATCCAGTTAGAGTCCTAATCTTCCTTCAAAGTTCCACTCAAATGCCACCTCTATGATGGGGTCTTCCCTGATTACCTTGAGCAGAGATGAGCACTCTTCCTTTTGCACCTCTACCATGCACCATAAAAAACTACAGCAAATATGACACAGTACAATTAATTTTGTCTACATGTCTATCTTCCCTACTATCTACAATGATTTCTTTAAGGGCTCACTCTATGTTTTATTTTTGTATCCTGAGAACCTAGAACTGTTCTTGGCATAGAATGTTTGCTGATTAAATGAGGAACAAGCAAACACACCTCTACTGGTCTCACCCAAGCCAAAGAACAAGGGATAGCCTGAGCCGGAAGCTTTGTGTAACAGCACCTGCAATAGATAATCAAATACATGAACATTTAATCACATTTTAAAACGGCATTTTATGGAATCTCTAATCCATTTCTTGATTTTAGCTATCCACACCATTTCAGAGTACTTTATTCATGCATTTTTAAATTAATGTCTTACACTTTAAAGCAATCTAAGCAATAAAATTGTAAAACATAATAGTCTTCGAAAACCATTCAATTAAAATATAGGTGGGAATAGTTCAACCTTCCTGCTATAAAAAGGAAACTCTGAGCATGACCCAAAGAATCATTTTCCTAATAAGAGACTGAAATTTGGTCTCATGGTCCATTCAGTTCACAGTCATGTGAAAGAAGACACAAGAGATAATAACCCAACTATGAACCTAAATGACCATTTGCTAAGTCTGCACTAAGAAGGAAGAGGCCTCGCGCCGCCCCGCCCGCGCTCCTCTCGTCACCCCTAAAGACGCTAAATGTGCCCTACTCTGCCCCGGGGAGAGCACATGGATTAACTGATGGATGTGGAGTTTATGGAGTTACCTTTTTGTGACCTGCTCTTCCTACAGTTTCTAAGAAGAAAAAGGGGCCCCTGAATCAAAGAAGATGCATCGAACTAAACAGATTCATCCCAGAAATCTAAGAGGAGCCATATTTGGATGGAGGAATCTGAAATGAATGGTTGGATATTCTTTGCCAACTGGATCACAATGAATTATTTTTTTCATCCCTCCTCCATACTTCTTTTGAGATTTATTTTTGCACTAAACTATACATTAGATTAACAAGAAGTGAAGAGAGATGTAGTTGACATTGACTGAGACCATTATTTATAGAACTTGGCGGCAAACTGACCTACTTTCCAAGAGGCAGTGATTGGTCAAAAATATGAATATAATATTTTTTTCATACAAAAAAAAAAAAAAGAAGGAAGAGGGATGGAAAGGAGGGAAGGATGGAGAGAGGAAGGCAAGACAAAAAGAAGAGACAGCCTAACCCCATAGAGTTTCAGCAGTATGAGTCAAAACTTAAGCTGTCCTCATGAAATTTGTTAACTCACTTGAGGAACCTCAGGGAGGACTTCTGAACAGTTCCAATATTTCCAAAGTCTGGGTAGAACACTTCAACTTCCTGTTTCCCGAGGACTCGATGGATAATAACCCGATACCACCACTTATCCTCAGAAATCTTTACACAACAGAGATGTCCTGGTTGGATAAAATATTCTGGCATGGCATATCGATCTGAAACCAGCTGATTAGAATAACAGCGTCTGTGGAATTCCATAATATAGAGAGACCCATAGGAGAAGAAAAAATAAAAGATGATTTTTATTGATGTATCAAGAGTAGGAATGTCTTGGCAAAAAGCAAAGAAAAACATCCTCACTTTTTCTGATTTGTTAATGCTTATTAATACCAATTAATTTTATTTTCCTTTTTCTTATCCAAATCCTTTCTCGTCATCAACAAAATTCTTCAAATAGAATCTTATACACTCATTGTATCTCACATTCTCTGCTGAACAGAATGTAATTGAACTATATTCCCCAGCACTTCCTAAAATGGACATTTTTAAGACATCAATGGCCTGTTAATTCCCAAATCCAATAGCCTTTCTCCTCAGCTTTCAATACACTTGCTCTCTGCAGCATGATACCGATCCTGTCCTCTTTCAAACTCTATCCTACTTAGTTTCCAGACACTTTTTTCTCCTACTTCTTCCTTGTCAATAATTATTTCTTTATTGGCTCTGTAACTGCTTTAGAAGTTCGGTTTGTACGCGGTCTTATCTTGAGAACGTATAACATAATAAGAGCTCAGGCTTTGAAACCAGTAACTTGGGTTCAAATCTGACTCCATCATTTACTAGCTGTGTGACTTTATCTTTCTGTGCTTCGGTTTACTTGTTGAGGATGGGGATGATGATAGTAAAATCTTAGTTAAAATATGTGAATGTTTAGCAGAGTCTAAAAATAGCAAGCACTCAAATATTAACTATTTATTAAATTCTTGCTGATAGCATCTCATGCATTTTCACGTGTTATACCAATACTGATAAACTGAGGATTCTCCATCTCTATCTTTAGTCCCTGCATCTCTTCTGAGCTTTAAAACTTTTATTTCCAACAGCATGAAAAGACGTTAGCTGTCCCCTAATTTCCATTCTCCTCTCTTTTTTTCCTAGTAATAGAATCCCAAATTTTAACTGAGTATATGGCCATTCAGATTTCCCAGGCTCCCTTGCATCTAGATGTGGCTACGTGAATACTAAGTTCTGCCCGTGGGATGTCAGAAACAGCAAAGTGTGCATGATTAAGATGATAAATTTTGTGTATTTTACCACAATTAAAAAAAAAAGTAAAGTGTGAAAATTCCAGCTTCTGTCTTTCAAAGAAAAGGGCATACCTCCAACCCCCCACCTTCTTCTTTTTCCCCTTCCCTCTGGCTGGAATGAGGACCCAGTGGACATGGTGGTGACCTATATCCTGGACCATGTGGATAGGCCAACACATTGTCTGGGGCAGCAAGACAGAAAACACTTGTAGCCCTAACACCATAGAGCTACCCTATCAGCCTACATTGCTTATACATGGACTATCAACGTATGGGAAGAAGAAATAAACTTTTTGTGTGTGTGTGTGAGGAAGATCAGCCCTGTGCTAACATCTGCCAATCCTCTTTTTTTTTTGCTGAGGAAGACTGGCCCTGGGGTTCTAACATCTGTGCCCATCTTTCTCCACTTTATATGGGACGCCGCCACAGCATGACTTGCCAAGCGGTGCGTTGGTGCGCGCCCAGGATCCAAACCGCCGGTGAACCCTGGGCCACCGCAGCGGAGCGCGCACACTTAACCGCTGGCGCCACCAGGCCGGCCCCAAGAAGAAATAAACTTTTATCTTCTTTATGCTACTATGGCTAAGTTATATCTTCGTAATCCTAACTAACATTGCCCGTTCAACATTGCCAGTTCACTATCTCATGGTCATCTTAGAGATACTATGAGTAAACTTTTAACTTCTAACCCCAGCTCAAACCTACGCAATCTCTCAAGTCAACACAGTTTTCATATTCTCCTGTTCTCCCTTTTCCTTCCCAACCCCATTCTTGTTACCAAGACCTGACAATTTTACTTTCCTAATTTCTCTTAAATTTTTCTCTTCCTTTCCACTCACTCTCTCACCAAAACCAGCCTATTAATGGATCTTTTCCTCTTCACACCATCCATCCTCCACACTGGAACTCGAGTTAGCCTTCTCAAATACAAACCTGTTGATGTCCTTCCTTTCTTAAAACCTTCAGAGCCCCCTCACTTCTACAGAATAAGTCCATATTCCTTCCACGGTGTTCATATTCTAACTTTTGCCTAGTCTTCCAGTTTCACAGGCAGCCACTGTCCCCTCAACCTCACCTGGTAGTGACTTCACTTCCCTATTTGTTGTTCCCAGAGCACACCGCTCACTCCTGTGTTAATGCTGGCCTTGGTGCCAGTGACTGTACCCTACCACACCCACTCACACCTCCTTGACTGGCAAATTCTTATTTGTTTTTGAGGCCTAGCTCAAGTATCTCCTTTGTGAAGCTTTCCTCCACCTTGCCCAGGTAAAACTACTGCCTCGTACAGCATCCCACTTATCCCCTACCTATCTTCCTAGCTAATCGTGGTGTTCATAAAAGCAAAGGCCATGCCCATCTTCTGGGACGTTGCCACAGCATGCCTTGCTGGTACACTTGTACCGCCTGTGCTTCAATATCCCAACACCAAGCACACAGCAGATATAGTATTAATAATAATAGCACCCAACATTTGAGCTCGATTCGACCCTAAGTACTTTAATCTTCACAACTCTGTGAGGTAGGTACTATTATCATCTCCACTTTGGAAATGAGAAGACCAGGCCTAGAGAAGTAAAGTAACTTCAAGGTCACAGAGGCAGTAAATTTGCTTGAAAACATGCACTAAATCTTACAGGCATACTGGGATGGAATACATGATAATATTTTCACTAAGTGATTATTATGTGGCTTATATTATGCTAGGAGTTCTTGGGTGGGAGATGAGTACATAATGTGGTAAAATTAGAAAAAAACATGGAATGCTTTTGGAGAGAGATAAAATAAATTATTCTTATATGTGACACATATAAAAATCAGACGTTGTTCATGAATAAATCTAAAGTGGTTGAAAATGTACAAATTTTACATAGTGTCTACTAACAAAGGGCATCAATTTTCAGTAGAGAAAAGATAATTAGAGCACTAGTTCTCCAAGTGTAGTTCAGGACCCCCGGGACCCTGAAATCCTTTCAAAAAGTAAGATTGAAGTTATTTTAATATTTTAGTATTATTATGAAAACAGTTATTTGCCCTTTTCACTGTGTTAACATTTGCACTGATGGTGTAAAAGCAAGGTGGGTAAAACTCCAGGTGCCTTAGTTAAATCAAGGCAGTAGCACCAAATTTTACTAGTAGTCATTTATTTGTCACCACCATGCATTCACAGTAAATAAAGAAAAAAGAGGCCAATTTCACTTAAGAATGTCCTTGATAAAGCAATAAAAATTACTAAGTTTATTAAATCTCAACCATCCTTTCCATCTTTTCAATATTCTCTGTGACAAAAATGAAAGTACACATAAAACCTTTCCCAAGCTGTCTTAAGGAAAAGCACTTGTCCATTTGAGTAGTGAACTGAACTAGCTGCTTTTTTGTGGAACATTATTTTTACTTGGAAGATGAACTAGACATTGTTTTCATGGAACACCATTTTTGCTTGAAAGGACCACTAATGAACTATGTTTATTCAGACTTGGGTATCCGATACACTTTCTCAAAAATGAAGTGAGCCTGCCACTTCAAGGAAAACATTGACAGTATTTGTTGTCAATGATAAAATTCAAAGCTTTCAAGTGAAAATTAGGATTTTGGAAATGTTGCATCCACCATCATGAGCTTGACAGCTTCCTACTACTTAATACTTTTCTGATGAGATCAGTGGTGATATTAATAAATGCGATTTTTTAATATTATGTGACGAAGTGTGTCAACATTTGGAAGATCTACATAACTCAGTGAACCAGTACTTTCCAAATGACCAATGCATGATGTTTTACAATCACAGGTGGGGTGAAAGACCCACTCGGCCAGTTTCACTGAGTCCACACTTAGGAGGGCCCTATGCTTGCTTTAATACTCAGCTATTGTTGTCTTGAAATTCTTAATTTTTATACAAGAAGGTTTGCATTTAAATTTTACACCAGAGCCTCCAATTACATAGCTAGTTTTGGATCCATCAATAGTGCAAAGGCACAGCAATGGATTTTAACATAGTAGAGAATGAAAAGGTCAAATTGCACATTGCAACTAATCTTTAAAAAACTACCATTTGTCAAGATTTGGTATCCTATCAAAGATATTCTTTTCAAAAGGCTATTAAAATACACCTTCTCTCAGCTACATATCTGTGTGAGGACTGATGTTTTCATCTACTTCAACCAAAACAATATATCTCAGGAGATGGAAGACAGAGGCAGATATTAAAATCCAACTTTCTTCTTTGAAGCCAGATATTAAAGGGATCTTAAAACATGTAAAACGATGCCACTCTTCTAATTTCCATAAAATAGTTATTTTTCATAAAAATGGGTTATATTCACACAAATGGATTTATTGTTATTTTTAAACAAAAAATATTTTTAAAATTTTGCAGTTTTAATTTCTATAAGATAAATACCAATAAACAAAAGCTCTCTTAGGTCCTTAATTTTTAAGTGCCCTGAGATCAAAATGTTAGAGAACTGCTGATTTAGAATGAAATACATGAAAAATACATTGAAAACAATAGATTCCTACCGCATTTCAATCATCATGTCTTCAAGTTTCTCTGATGAATCCCTGCTATAGATTCGGATGTAGAATTGACTAGGAGAGATGATATACTCCACAAAGACCCCCACAAGGGTACTGGTATCTAATGGTGGCAATCTGCATAATTTCTTGTCCTGTACAGCATCTGGTGGGATATCATGATTTGCCACTGCCGGGTTCAGCTGTGATTTGTTAATTTCTACTTGCTACAAGTTAAAAAAAGAAATCACAGAGACCACTATAAAATCTTTGGGTGACATTTCAAACTCTATGACGTTTCTCAAAGTATATTTCATGAGTCACTTTTATCAGAATCACCTGGGAAATGACAAGAATGAGGATTCTTAGACTTTAGCCCAGATTTACTGATTCAGAACACCTGAAAGTGGGCCCCACAATTATGCATTTTAAAAATTCCCTAGGTGATCCTTACCTATGTTAAAATATGAAAACTCCAGCCTTATGATATTAAGAATTAAGTGTGTTACACAACTGCCCTATACAAAATTGAAAACATGTTACTTCAAATATTCAGGCTGAAGTAAGACAGATTCTCATCCTACCCAACCCTGCCAACAAAGGTCACTTTAAAGAATGGATTAAATTTCAGACTAGTCTTCCAATCAAAAATAGGGTCTTTCAAACACCCTCATTCTAAAATATATTATTTTTCTTTAGGTTGTCCTCGAGAAAGTACAGCAGGCTCTCCAAACAAAATGTTTTTTGGTATAGAGCGTAGAAGGGAAGAAGAGTAAGCTCAAAGGTATAGAGCGTAGAAGGGAAGAAGAGTAAGCAATTAATTCCTTAATAACAACAAAATAATAGGAGATGAGGACACAAAAAGGGAGAATTGTGTGTAGAGATGTAATGAAGGAGAAAAAAATGAAAATACCCTATAATTGAGGTTAGGGCAATCTGCAGCAGTGGTTGAGTCATACAGCTGAAACAAAGCTTCTCTGTTCTTCCCTCTAAAGCCCTCGAGGGTTTTCAAGACTACATTTTGAAAAATACAGACAGAGAATCAGCAATGTCATCTTGAGAGAACTGTCAAATCTTCAAAGCCATCTGAAAACTTTAAAATGAGACTAGAGGGAAACTAGTTATATAAAAGATTGAAAACCAGAATAAATGCTGCATAACGTGACTTCCAAGAAATCATATATCTAGAAATAAGACTTTTCTAACACAGAATTTTGGTTTAAAGAAACATGCATTCAGTTACTTTCCATAATGCTGAATTTCCAATGCACAAAGTCTTTAAACCTTACTCACCAGCTGTAAAGGCTTCACTACCAAATTAGGCTTCTTGCAAATCTTCTGTTTTGGCTCTTTAAGGTTTTTTGAAGGGCAATCCCATGTAGTCTCCTTGACAGCAGCAGTAGACAGTGAATTTCTAAGGGGACTGGAGACACAAGTTTTGGCTTCTATTTTCTTATCTGATTGAATTAAACATGAACTTCTGACTGAGGAAACAGCCCCATCTGAAATGACCAAAAGGGTATCCTATGTACACATATTACAATAACTTGTATAACTGTTACCAAGCACATTCTATGTGCCAGGCACTGGGCTGATAATGATAAATGAGAGATACGAGCCTGTCTTTGCAGACCTTTCAGAACGAAGAGATATAAAGGAGGTTCTAGATAGGAACAAATCAAATTATTTATGTTGTGGGGGGAGAAGGTAAGTCTGGTAAAGTTTCTTAAACTTTGATGAAAGGTTTTATTTTTCAACATCCTGATTTCAATTCATTTCTTGTTCAACTTTAGCAGTGAACATTCATCATTGCTTAATGTATGTGCCTACTTAATATTCCATAACACATGCCTTAATTTTTAGGGAATTCCCAAATCGATCACATATTTTGTTCAAATTTACATGTGTATGATGATTATAAGAGGTTGACACTTTAAAACAGACCCCAGGATAGACCTAAAACCATAGTGGCTCCTAAAGAACAACTAATAAGTGCAAAAAGATATAGGTACAGGAATATTTATCACTGTATTTATACACTCTACATGTCCATCAATAGGAGACTGGTTAAATGAATTATAATATAGTCACATAAAAGAATTGTATGTAGTTAAAAAGGACGAAATAAACTTGTACATGCTGATATGGAAAAACATCCATAATATACAAAGTGTAAAAAGGAAGGACTTATACAATATTCATATAATACTGTTTTGTGTAAGAAAAATCATACATATGATAAATAACTATATTATATACAAGAGGTCCACTAAAACTATGACCCCTAGTTACCACCTCTGCATTGTTAGAATTGTTTAAACAAGCAAATATTGTTTTTGTAATTTTTTAAAAATCTAGCTATGCTTACATATACATTTAAAAATGTCTAGAAGGCTATATAAAAATTCTAACAGCATTTTTAGGGGAAATAAAATTATGGGAAATGTTCTCTTTCAACTTTATACTCATCTGTGCTGTTTGAATTTTTTAGAATGAACATGAGTTATTTTAATAATCAGAAAAATCAACAAAGATACACTTACATTTTGGAAAAAATAGCTGTCCATCATAACCACTTGTAGAAGCTTATAAAAATACAAGTCCCAAATGGCACTATAGTTTGGCAAGATGTGACCACTGAGGGAACTGAGAAGAGAGTACATGGGATCGCTCTCTATTAATAACTGCATGTGAATCTACAATAACCTCAATGCAAATTTCAAAAGAAAAAAAAACTAAGCCAAAACAAACAAACAAAAATCAAGTGCCCTAAATGCAACGTGGTATCCTGGAGTGAATCCACAACAGAAAAAAGAACAATGGTGGGAAAACTGGTAAAATTGGAATGAAATCTGGAATTTAGAATTTAGTTAATCAATGTTGATTTCTCAGTTTTGACAAATGGTAATGGTAATGTTAATATTAGGGGAAACTGGAGGAAAGGCATATGGGAAAGGCATCCAGGAAAGGCATACTCTGTACTACCTTTGAAACTTTTCTATAAATCTAAAATTATCCCCAAATAAGTTTATTTAAAACAAAATACAGGGGCCAGCCCGGTGGCACAAGCGGTTAAGTGTGCGCGCTCCGCTTTGGCGGCCTGGGGTTTGCAGGTTCGGATCCCGGGTGCAGACCTACGCACCGCTTGTCAAGCCATGCTGTGGTGGCGTCCCATATAAAGTAGAGGAAGATGGGCACAGATGTTAGCTCAGGGCCAATCTTCCTCAAGAAAAAAAAGGGGAGGACTGGCATTGGATGTTAGCTCAGGGCTAGTCCTCCTCACAAAAAAATAAATAAATAAATAAAAATAAAACAAAATACAAGTGCAGGCTCTCAATGCACACCCATTTATTCTGAATCTCCACGTAGTTCTAAAAAGCTTTTGATTCACAGTCAGAGTTAAGAACCACTGAACTATCTAGTGCTTCCCCAACAGATCACCATTTCAGAAAAGTGATTTCTTCAGAATTATCCAAAAATCTGGACGATGAAGAAAGTAAATTTTATAAATTCAGATAGTCTTTATTAATAATATAAGTTAGCCTTATTACAACAAATATCACCAGAAAGAAGGTCATTATATACAAAACATTTTCAAGGCTAATGTGTGATCTGTTTGGCTGATGTGGTTACAATAAGGAATATTACATAATCAATGGTTTCTTTTTCTTTGTCTTTAAAGGGACAATTAAAAATCAGGTTTGCATCATATTGTAATTCAACTCACCAGGTGGAAGAGGCTTCATATCAGCATCAAATATCAGTAAATCTTGTTCTCCTTCCCTGAACTCAACATGGAGAATGTCACTTAGAGCTCCAACAAGTTCTGTCACATTTAAGAATCCTAATTTTTTTGGTGAAAGTTGCTCTTTAAAAATTACCTGTCACAAAAAGCATAAATAACATGAAACAACGATGTCAGATAACATGAATATAACATATACAGGTGCCCTTGGACGATGCTTTAATCCAGACTTAGCCAAACTAAATTTGTAAGGGTCAGTGAACCCGGGCCGCCAGTAGCAGAGTGCATGCACTTAACCGCTAAGCCACGGGGCTGGCCCATAAAATGTCCAAATTCTTAAACTTTTGTCTCCCTAACCAAGGTAAAGCAGTTGAGCTAATCATAATTCTTGCCCTCTTCCTCTGACTAGGTGTTAGTAGGAAATAAATCCTTGCCCTGACTTAATCCCCTTGGGGAAGATGGACGGATACACAGAAGGCAAACACTCTAAAAGGACTGACCCTGATGGATGGTAGGGCTGCCCGGGGCATACCTTCTTGTTCATGTGATGCTCTGAGACCCAACATAACTCTTCATGACTTCTCCCAGGACACTTGTAAAAATGGGGGCCCAGCATCAGTCAAGTCATGGTTTAAAAGGGCCCTTAATATCACATCTATAGCCAATCATGAATATCCCAAGAGAGAAAGAATTGTTACAGGACAAGGAAAGGGTGGTGCTGAATCAGACTTGGCATCTCTACTTATTTCTTTGTACATTTATTATGGCTTCTTTACCTTTTATGTTCATTAGTCTCTTTAATGGTTTTTTACCTTCTCTGTAAGAGCCTAGTACTATGAATACACAATTCAATTGAACACAAGACTAGTTTGGGAAGGATTTTTTAAAAATGTAAGTTATTAATTTTTTGAATAAGTGATATTCAGAAGTTTCAAAAGGGTATACAGCAAAAACTAAGTCTCCAGCCCACTCTCATCCCTCAGTCAGGCAGGAGATTCTCTCCCTAGAGGTAACCATCATTATCAGTTTCTTGCATAAGCCATCGTCACTAGTTTCTTGCGCAACTTTCCAGAAATTGTCAAAACTTGAACATGCATCAAGCTTCAACATAATAGATTATACACATTGTACACACTTCTTTAAAGCAATGTGAATTTAAGTATCCTCCGTCATTATATGAGAGATGATGTGTATCTTTCCTATCTAAGTTTTCTTCTACTATGAGTTAACATTTCTTGAACAATTACTATATGGCAGGCACTGCTCTAAGCACTTGATTTTTAAATCATTTAAACTTCACAAAACTCTATAAAGTACGTAATATTATCTTGACTTTACACATCATCTATAAAATAGCACATAGAGGTGAGTGATGTATCTTAACCATTATGCTATAGTATCTCACAATATCCATGTTAATATCTGCAAAAATATGATAGTTTTCATGGCATAGTAGTTACAAGTTAGGATTCTGAAGCCAGGTTGCCCAGGGTTCAAATCCTGGCTCCACCCATTACTGGCTATCTGCCCGTTAGGCAAGTTACTTCTCTGTGCCTCCCTTTGTGATGAAAATCAAATGAATTACTATATGCAAGGCATTCAGAATAAAGCCTGGCACACAGCTACCATATGTATAGGTCTTACCATTTTAAAAAATTGGATATGTGGCAGTTATCTGAATTATCATTCTGCAACTTGATTTTTTTCACTAAACATTATGGGCCCAAAAATGATCATGTTACAGAGTAGATCTAGTTCATTTATTTTATCTACTACATATTACTCCATTGTATAAACGTCAATCTCAATTTATTTATCCATTCTCCTATTGACGGCTATTTAATGTGTTGCCAGTTTTTTGTTTTTTGTTGTTTTTTTTTTGAGGCAGATCAGCCCTGAGCTAACACCCATGCTAATCCTCCTCTTTTTGCTGAGGAAGACCAGCTCTAAGCTAACATCCATTGCCAATCCTCCTCCTTTTTTTCCTGCAAAGCCCCAGTAGATAGTTGTATGTTATAGTTGGCACATCCTTCTAGTTGCTGTACGTGGGACGTGGCCTCAGCATGGCCGGAGAAGCAGTGGGTCGGTGCGCACCCAGGATCTGAACCCGGGCCGCCAGTAGCTGAGCGCGTGCACTTACCCACTAAGCCACGGGGCCGGCCCTGTTTCCAGTTTTTTATTATGCTGCAACGTACACACCTTGTGTATGTCTTCACACGCACATGTGTAAGAGTTTCTCTAAAGTGCATATGTAGAAGGGGAACTGCTGCATCACTGGGGACACATATCTTCAACTTTACTCCTACTGCCAAAATGCTCTCCAAAGGGGTTCTGTCCCACAAGCAGTGTATGAGGTATTCTGTTTCTCCACATTCCCACTGACACTTCATATTATTAGACATTAAATAAATTAACTTTTATCTAATAATAGCAATTAGTTGTTAAAAAAGAATCCTTCCTATGCATAATCAAATATTTATTAAGGGCCATATTCTTGTCTTTTAGTAAAGAAAAGGACATGAAAATGCAAAACAAGATGTTTCAGTTCTAGAGCAGAGACTTGGAGGATCCAAGGAGTAGCAACCAAATTCCTATCACAAGAAACATAAAACATATAAAACCACAGTTAGTGAAAAAGAAAACACTCACCTCAAACTCTCCAAGCAGTTTAGAAATAAGCAAACCTTCTGGAAACTTGGATACAACCTAATAAATAGAAAATAAAATGTACTATAAACAGACACCATTGGAATGAGGGGTGATAAAATATCAAAATAAGACAGTATAAACTTAAATTGCAACAAAGGTAAAAAATAACATTATTATTGAGTGAATGAATTAAAGTCACAATATGTTTTTTAAAAGTCAGTTTCTACAGTAACCAAAAACCTCCCAAAAAATAAAAGCCCAGGACCAGACGGCTTACCTGGTGAATTCTACCAAACATTCAAAGAAGACTTAATACCTATCCTTCCCAAACTCTTCCAAAAAACTGAAGAGGAGGGGAATCTTCCTAATTCATTCTACAAAGCCAACATTACCCTGATGCCAAAACCAGACAAGGACGACACAAAAAAAGAAAATTACAGGCCAATATCACCGATGAACATCGATGCAAAAATCCTCAACAAAATACTAGCACATCACATACAACAATACATTAAAAAGATCATACACCATGATCAGGTGGGATTTATTCCAGGGATGCAGGGATGGTGCAAGATCCGCAAATCAATCAACGTGATACACCACATTAATAAAATGAAGAATAAAAGTCACATGGTCATCTCAATAGATGCAGAGAAAGCATTTGACAGGATACAGCATCCATTTATGGTAAAATCTCTGAATAAAATGCGTATAGAAGGAAAGTACCTCAACATAATAAAGGCCATATATGACAAACCCACAGCTAATATCATCTGCAATAGTGAAAAATTGAAAGCTATCCCTCAAAGAACAGGAACCAGACAAGGATGCCAACTTTCATCATTCCTATTTAACATAGTATTAGAAGTCCTACCCAGAGCAATCAGGCAAGAAAAAGAAATAAAAGGAATCCAAATTGGAAAGGAAGAAGTGAAACTGTCACTATTTGCAGATGACATGATTTTATGCATAGAAAACCCTAGAGAATCCACAAAAAACCTTTTAGAAATTATAAATGAATACGGTAAAGTTACAGGATACAAAATCAACATACAAAAATCAGTTGCATATCTATACATTAACAGTGATGCAGCAGAAAGAGAAATTAAGAATACAATCCCATTTACAATTGCAACAAAAAAGAATAAAGTACCTAGGAATAAACTTAACCAAAGAGGTGAAAGACTTGTACACTGAAAACTATAAAACATTGCTGAAAGAAACTGAAGACGACACAAAGAAATGGAAAGATATTCCGTGCTCTTGGACTGGAAGAATTAACATAGTGAAGATGTCCATACTTCCTAAAGCAATCCATAGATTGAATGCAATCCCTATCAAAGTTCCCAGCAATATTTTTCACAGAAATACAACAAAGAATCCTAAAATTTATACGGAACAACAAAAGACCCCGAATAGCCAAAGAAATCCTGAGAAAAAAGAACGAACCTGGAGGTATCACACTCCCTGATTTCAAAATATACTACAAAGCTATAGTAACCAAAACAGCATAGTACTGGCACAAAAACAGACACGCACATTAATGGAATAGAATCAAGAGCCCAGAAATAAACCCACACATCTATGGACAGCTAATCTTCGACAAAGGAGCCAAGAACATACAATGGAGAAAAGAAAGTCTCTTCAACAAATGGTGTTGGGGAAACCGGACAGCCCCATGCAAAAAAATAAAAATAGACCATTATCTTACACCATACACAAAAATTAACTCAAAATGGATGAAAGACTTGAATGTAAGATGTGAAACCATGAAAATTCTAGAAGAAAACATAGCAAGTATGCTCTTCGACATCAGTCTTAGCAACATATTTTCAAGCACCATGTCTGACTGGGCAAGAGAAACAATAGAAAAAATAAACAAATGGGACTACATCAAACTAAAAAGCTTCTGCACAGCAAAGGAAACCATCAACAAAACAAAAAGACAACCTAACAATTGGGAAAAGATACTTGCAAACTATATATCTGATAAGGGGTTAAACTCCAAAATATATAAAGAACTCATACATCTCAACAACAAAAAAATTAACAACCCAATTAAAAAATTGGCGAAAGACCTGAACAGACATTTCTCCAAAGAAGATATACACATGGTCAACAGGCACATGAAAAGATGTTCAACATCATCAGCTATCAGGGAAATGCAAATCAAAACTACAATGAGATATCACCTCACACCTGTCAGAATGGCTACAATTACCAACACAGGAAACAACAAGTGTTGGAGAGGATATGGAGAAAAGGGAACTCTCATACACTGTTGGTGGGAGTGTAAATTGGTGTAGCCACTATGGAAAACAGTATGGAGATTCCCCAAAAAATTAAAGATAGAACTACCGTATGATCCAGCTATTCCACTGCTGGGTATTTATCCAAAGAACATGAAAACACCAATGCATAAAGATACATGCAACCCTGTGTTCATTGCAGCGTTATTCACAATAGCCAAGACTTGGAAGCAACCTAGGTCCCATCAAGGGACAAATGGATAAAGAAGATGTGGTATATATACACAATGGAATACTACTCGGCCATAAGAAATGATGAAATCCAGCCATTTGTGACAATTCGGATGGACATTGAGGGTATTATGCTAAGCGAAATAAGTCAGAGGGAGAAGGTCAAATGCTGTATGATCTCACTCATAAGTAGTAGATAAAAACAACAACAAACAAACACACAGAGACAGAGATTAGATTACTGGTTACCAGAGGGGAAGGAGGGAGGGAGGAGGTGATTAGGCACATGTGTGTGGTGATGGATTGTAATTAGTATTTGGGTGGTGAACATGAGCACATGATGTAATCTATGCAGAAATAGAAGTATAAAGATGTACACCTGAAATTTATACAATGTTATAAACCAATGTGACCACAATAAAAAAAAAATTTTCAAAATTAAAAAAAAAAAAATAAACGTCAGTTTCTAATTTTAAAAAAGGTTATAACAACTAACAACCGAAAAAGGCAGTGACTTCCAACATTTCCAGAGTGGAGAAATCATTCTTACACAATACTGCAATGCCACAACTCGCTAGAAATTCCTATACTTCTTTAGCTCAGCTAACATATTTAGCTTTAGCTCACATAAAATAACTATACAACACAATTTCAAGCATTTTAAATGACAGAAAAGAACTACAATGGACTCTATAGAAAACTTTGGAAAATACAGTTAAGCAAAGAGAAAATATCCATAGATAATAGCCATTGTTGTCCATATGCACACAAAAATATCTATAATTAACATAAAAATAAGGTCATTACTTCTATAACCAGTTTTTTAATATCATACCATAGACATCTTTCCATGTCAGTAAAGATGGATCAACATGTTTAATGGCTACAGAGTTTTCAAAATATTCAATACACTTAAATTTATTTACTTGATCCTCTATTTATGGCTATTTCCTATTTTTCATCATCCCAAATACTGAAAGGATTATCCTCATTCTTGCATCTTGCACACTTGTCCAATTATTTTTTAGGATAAATTCCTAGAAGTAGACTTCCTCCATTCCTATAAAGTATAAAAAGCTTTGTGTTTTCCTAGATTTTTCCAGATATATTTTATAAAAAATTTTAATTCAAGCCTTCAGAAAAATATAAAGTAAAAATTACTCTAAAATCCTGTGACGCAGACAATCATTGCTGCATTTCAGAAATCATCCTTTCAGAAACCTCTTTACACACGCACAAATATTTACATTATTCATGATTTTATATGAAAGGACAATATTAAACATGCTACTCTATACAATCTGTTTTTAAAGTCCAACAATATACTAAGGAGATACTTCCATGTAAATAACAGTGACATACATAAACTTTCTTACGAGCTGCATGATATTCCCTAGTTTGAGTGGACAATTTAACCAACCCTTTATGAAAGGATTCTTAATTTTTCTCTAATTTTTGGTTACCATAAAAAAGTCATATTGAACATCCTTCAATAAATAATTGTTGGACACTTGCTCAAATGCCCAAACAAAAAAACAGGGTCTGAACACACCAAGCGTTTTGCATTTCTCCCAGTAAAATCATGACAGCTAAAAAGGAATAATAAAAGGCAGTAAGAGTCGTAATGGCACTCTGATTATTCAAATCAGAATTAATAGTTCCCACTAAAATTTTAAGTGTACATACCCTTTAGCCCAATATATAATAGCTAAGGGACTTTTACTAATAAGGCAAAACAACAAATTAGGCCAAGGACATGAACAGGCAATTCACATAAGAAATATAAATGGCTACTAAGCATATGAAAAGATACTTAATGTAAAAACCAAGAGGTATAAATTAAAACAACATGATTGGATACTAACATTTCAATGTAAGGAAGAGTGCAGATTCGTTCAAACCTTTTAGAGGGCAATTTGGTAATATTTAACATCAAAATTGAAAATATTCAATATCTTTGGCAATTCCTCTTCTAGATAAATGTTTAAGGACATTAAATACAGCATTTTTTAATAGCCAAGGCTAGAAATAACCCAAATGTTAATCAATCATGGATCTCATACATCAACACAATGGGATATCATGCACTGTTTAGAATATTTGACACACATGTATATAAAATTGGTTGGAAGGATCTTGAACTGTGTGTTAATGAAGATTTATTGGGGTGAGGGGAAGAAAAAAGGGAAGAGAGAGAATTTATGGAGGAACTTACATTTTCTAAATAATTTTGACAACATTAAAAATTTTCAGGAGTGTGTAATTTATTTATTGGGTTTTTTTCCTCATCTTGAAAAGATCAGGTATAAATATAAAACTAATAAATAGTTGTAGGCAAATTAAACTTAACTACAAATAATATCTAAATGTATAATTAATTATTCTTATCCATTTCCCAGAAACAGAAAATACTTACAAATTTTATCTTATGTTTTAGTTCTGGACTGATAGTCCCTCCAGGTCCAATTTGGGCAATAACTGATCTGAATGTGTTCTCCAGCTGTGAAAAAAGAAAGAAAAAGTTCAAGTTACAGTAAAAAAAAAAAAATGTCAAAAATAAATCTAAACTGTATGTAAAGGAAACATCTATCACAGGAAATGTATTTCAATCAAATGGATAAAATACCTCAACAGGCACTGTAGCATTTCAGGCCATATAAAATACATTTAGAGTAGATGGAATCTTTATAAAACTAAACTCTGGAATTTTCCAGGATAATTAACATTCTCTATAAATTAGATTCCAGTCTTCAATTACTCAATCCCATACTCTAACCCAGAAAGGATTTTTGTTACTCATTTTCTTCTGTTTATAAAAGTATTTAATGTTTATTAAATACATATTTAGTGAATGCCTAATGCAGGGAAGAGATGGGATGGCGCAAGGTCCCTGGGAGGGAGAAATGTGTGCGAGCCAGGGCACTGAGTGAATGACTGGCCCTAAAGTGAGCACTAGAAGGAAAAGCTCTTCTGTTGCAATAGAAAAGAGGGAAAGGACCAGGAGGGATAGGGAAAAGGCTCTATGAATGTGGGTCAGAGGGTGGACAGAGTTACTATGGGATGGCTTCAGCATTTTCTCTGTGACTTCAGAAGCGGGCCCACTCCTAAGAGGGGACAGAAAGCGGAGGGAGCTCAGTCAGTTGAGAAAGCAGAAAAAGTGGAAAAATGAAGTTGAGGAAATAATGGATGATAATCTAAACTCAACAGGTAGGAGTAAAGACAGGAGGGGCCTGAGTTAAGATAGCAGCGGATTTGAGGATTTTAGTAGAGAGAAGCCAATGGCATAGAGAGGCCCCAATAAGCTAAAAAGATAACACACGGGAATAATTGAAAAAATAAGCTGGAAGCACAGGAGATTATGATCAGAGAGTAGCATGGAGCCTATCCAGATAGCCAAGTCCAGTGAAAAGTCACGGCAGTGGAAATCCAAAGTGGAGTGCAAGATCATGGAATTATGTTTACAGATAATAAGTAAATGAAAAAAACATATTAGAAAAGACACAAAAGTATAATGAAAAACACAAATTACCGAAAATCCTGTCACATAGACACAATCACTTAATATTTTTTCCTTCTAAATTTTTTATTTTTTAATCTTTCATCTTGGCCTGTCATTACTTACAAACTATGTGACACTTTAGGTCTGTTTCTTCATCTGAAAAATGAAGATAATCTCAGTATCTCATAAGGTTAATGGGAACATGGGATCTGGGAAGGGAAGGATTATATTCCTATGATTTTATCAGTAGCTTTCACAAAAAAGGCCTCAGACCTTGGTCTTATGTTCTCTGTATTTCTTCTCTATCTGCCATGAGATAATTCCCTAAAGCCCTCCCAGTGAACAATAAGAGAATCTAAGGATAACTGATTTTTCACATCCCAATATGCTCCTACCATGTGAAGATTCAATACAATAATTCATTAAATTATCACTGTACTAGGTGTTTCAGGGGACAAAAAAAGGTCATCTTTGACAGCATCATTCCTCTCAAGCCACTTATACAATTAAGTAGGGAAACGAGATCAATGTTATCAACAGCTCTAACCTAAGGCTGACTCTAAGTGCCATTAAAGAAGTACAAAGTGCAGAAGGATATTCATCACAGTAAGTTATAAATATATGGAAGGCTTCCTTTTAGAAGGGCCTTGAAGGATGGCGGAGAATATTGCAGAGAGAGGTGGTAGAGAGGGCAATGAAGGTAGAAGGAACTTCATGAACAAAGGAGAAAGAATAAAACAGTTTCCCTCAAGGCATTAAGGTAGTAGTGAAAGTGAAAACTGAGAAAGGTAGACTGAAGTCGTATTACAGATACCTTAAATACCAAACTAAGGAGCTTTTCTTGGTTATGTAGACAAAAACTGACACTAGAGATTTTTAGCAAGGGAGAGACAGAACTTTAATCTGGAAGCAGAAAATTAGACTGGAGGGTGGACAACCAGTTAGGAGACCACTCAAACTCTCTGGGCCAGAGTTTTAACAAGAGTGCTAAGAGAATAATAGAAAGAAGGGATTATTACAAAGCTGGAATCCACAGAAATTAGGAAAGAAGACAACAGACAGGAAGGAACTGCTGATTCTACAAGGATGAATAATAAGAGACCAGGGAAACAGCGTCAAGGACCTCAAGTTTTATGCAGGAAACTAAAGGACCTTGGAACACAGAGGTAGGTTTTACCGGTTTTTAATCAATTCCAAGAGTTTGGAAATTGGGAGGTAAATGGCAGGACGGTAATTAAAAATCTGATTTGTTTCTCTAGAGCATGGCTTGTGACAGGTCAGCAAACTATGGCCCTCAGGCCAAATCTGGCCTGACATCCTCTTTTATGTGCAGCCCATGAGCTAAGAATGGTGTTGACAGTTTTAAACAGTTGGCAGAAAAAAATCAAAAAAAGAATATTTTTTGACACATGAAAATCATATGAAATTCAAATTTCAGTATCCATAGAAAAGTTTTATTGGAACATGGCCACACTCATTCATTTCCATATTGTCCATGGTTGCTTTCGCACTACAAGGGCAGAGAAGGGTAGGTACAACAGAGACCATTTGGCCCTCAAAGCCTCAAATATTTACTATGTGGCCTTGAGAGAAGATATTTGCCACGCCTGGGCTTAAGATGTCAAAATGATGGGCTCTTAGCCAGGAACAGAATGCTTCTCAAAAAAGTAAGAAAAAAAATGTTTTTTGCCTCAAGTTAGATGACTAAATTAAGCTGACTTTAAACGGAATGTGGTGGGAGAGATTTTTTATGTCTTTTAATTTTCAAGTCCAGGTAAACTTGGGGAAAAGTATAATTAAAGAATAGAAGTTATAATGTGGGGGAAAAAAGTAAGAGTGGGAGGTAATCAGTGGTTGACATAAGGAGAGTAATCAAGAGGGGACCCTGATTTCAACAATACTTTAGTCTCAGATGCCTATATACCAAAACACCAGGAATGGGGAATAAATCAAGTGAACAAAAGATTATAATCCAGGGGCATAAATAAAGATGGAAAGTGACCCCCCAAAAATGCCATATTCAGATAGGAGCCTCTAGGACCAGAGAAGAGGCAGAGAAGAGCTTTGAATCAAAAAGACATACTCCTCAGAAAAATGGACAAAGACATGAATAGGCAATTCATAAAAATTAACACTAAATAGACAATAAAAGCATAAAGTTCAACCTCTAATAAAGAGACATTAACAGTCAGATATAGTTATTTTCATATCAAATTGGAAAATTATTTTTACTATAATGTCCCTCTATTCACTCAACAGATACATATTGAACGCATCCTATGTGAGTCACAAGTGCTGGATACACAGGGGTAAGTAAATTAGACATGGTCACTGCCCTCGTGGAACCTGCAGTCTAGTATGGGGAGACAGACAGGAAACATCATACAAAAAATATATAATTACAATTACGATAAATATTATGAAAAAACCCACAGAGTGTCATGAAAGGATAATATGCCCAAAGGTGTTGGGAAAGCAATGAGAGACCTAACCTAGACTGGGGTTGGTGAGGAGGGAGAGAGGTAGGGAAGGTTTTCTGAAGAAGTGTCCCTTTATTCTCAGTATTAACAAAGGTACAAGGAAAGAAGCACATTCACACACATCTTATGTGAGTGTTCACTGAAACAACTTTTATGGAGGACAACCTAACTACATATATGATAAACCTTAAAAGTACACATTCCTGCACCAGGCTGGTAGCATAGCGGTTAAGTGCATGCGCTCTGCTGCGGCGGCCCAGGGTTTGCAGGTTTGGATCCCAGGCGCACACTGACGCACCACTTGTCAAGCCATGCTGTGGTAGTGTCCCATAGAAAGTAGAGGAAGATGGGCACAAATGTTAGCCCAGGGCCAATCTTCCTCAGCAAAAAAAAAAAAAGAAAGAAAGAAAGAAAAAAGTACACATTCCTTTTGATGCAGTGACTGCTCCTCTAGAAACTTACCCTGCAGAGTAATGCAGATATGTGCAAATCTGAGCAAGATTTTCGCCATAAAGTTATTTTTAATAGCAAAAACTAGAAACAGCCTAAATGCCCAACCTAGGTTATAGGTTAAATTATGGCACATTCATACTGCCATTAAAAATTATGTTCCATTACAATATTTAACAATGTGGGATGTTCACGACATGTAATTATGACTAAAAAAAAAGCAGGTCACAAACCTGGACCAAAATGATTCTAATTTTATTTATTTTTTAAAAACTTTTCCAGGTGATAAAAGTATAGGTGACTTTTTATTTTCTTCTGTGCTTTTTTTTTATTTCAAATTTTCTGCAATCAATCTGTATTACTTTCATAATAAGAAAAAGCTTTAAACAGACACCTAGACACCTGGGTGATATTCAGAAACATGTAGGTAGAAGCATTTTGAAAGGAAGATGCATGAGGCTAAAAGCAGAAAGGAACAGAAGTTACATCTTAGAGGAATATACCACAGGTATATTTGGCCATATGGTAAAACATCACTACATTTCTGATAATGATCACAAAAATGGCACATTCACACACGCAGAAGAGATGCTTTCAATTGCTTAAATACTTGCTAGGTATCTCATTTGACTAAAAGCTAGGCAGTATGGAATTTGACTTGCCATTCTAAAAATTTCATCCGAATTCATGGGAAAAAAGCTACTCTAAGTTGGCCAGAGAATGCAACTTCCAGAGAATTACATTAATTAACCCAATGAATGGCTCCTTTTGACAGTAATTGATAACATATCCAGTTGCTTGTCCAGGATACTCTTATTTTTTTTGGAAAAGGTTTTTTATTTATTTATTTTGTGTGTGTGTGTGAGGAAGATCAGCCCTGTGCTAACATCTGCCAATCCTCCTCTTTTTTTTCCTGAGGAAGACTGGCCCTGGGCTAACATCCGTGCCCATCTTCCTCCACTTTATATGGGTCGTCACCACAGCATGGCTTGCCAAGCAGTGCATCGGTGCGCGCCTGGGATCCGAACCTGCAAACCCCAGGCCGTCGCAGCGGAGCGCGTGCACTTAACT